TCAAATTTTCTCTTTTACAGGCGCTGAAGGTCCGCAAGGACCTCCTGGAATAGCCGGAGCACCAGGCTTTCCCGGACAAAAAGGTGAAGACGGACTACCAGGTCTGCCTGGTGTTGCTGGGTTGAAGGGTGATGCAGGTCTCCCTGGAGCTCCAGGCCTTCCTGGAGCAGCCGGACAACCAGGATTTCCAGGACAGAAAGGACAGGCAGGTCTTCCAGGGCTTGCAGGAGCAAAAGGTGAGTGAAAAAAGAATTACCTTATGGAAAACTGCATTCCTTTTTGCACTTCCAAATCTTACCTTTTTTTACTTTTGAAAACGTCTGTACGAAAGAATTTTTCAGGTGATGCGGGTCTACCGGGCTTACCAGGAGCCCCAGGAGCGAAAGGTGAACGTGGACAAGCTGGACTGCCAGGTCTGCCTGGAATGAAGGGTGCGGCAGGCTTCCCAGGAGCACCTGGTAAAGACGGCGTCCCAGGCTATCCAGGGGCGAAAGGAGAACGTGGTTTTAACGGTCTTCCTGGTGCGAAAGGAGAACCGGGACCGGCAGCTCGAGATGGCGCGAAGGGCGATGCAGGCTTACCTGGTGCGCCAGGCTTAAGAGGACCTCAAGGTTCGTATGCTAGAACTTTTACCATTAAAATTCTTCAAAAACACATTGTACGTAAAATCAGACAGATTGCTTAGCATATAACAATAATACTAAAATTTTTAGGACCACCGGGATTACCTGGATTGCCAGGCATGAAAGGCGAAGCAGGGCAACCAGGATATGGAGCGCCAGGACTACCTGGAGAAAAAGGTATTCCAGGCTTACCTGGAAAGCCGGGACGGTCGGGAGCACCCGGACAGAAAGGTCTTGATGGAGCCCCTGGTTTCCCCGGACTCAAAGGCGATGCTGTAAGTTTTTCCACTTTTCTTCATGCTGTACCAGTGGGTCTAAAATTTCTAAATCGGCTTGATTTACTAGCAAACAGATCTTGTCATTTATAAAGAATTTTGACGATAATGACTGAGAAGTGCTCATTTCAGGGTATTCCGGGCGCCCCAGGACTTCCTGGACAAGATGGACTACCTGGTCTGCCAGGACAAAAGGGTGATGCAGGCTTCCCTGGACAGGCAGGAATTCCCGGAGCACCTGGTTTGGTGGGAAAAATGGGTGCACCTGGCATTCGTGGCGATAAAGGAAGTCCAGGACTGCCTGGAGCGCATGGTGAACGAGGACTGGATGGTTTTCCAGGTCAAAAAGGAGAACCAGGATTTCCAGGAGCACCGGGTCCAGTGGGGCCACCTGGCCCTAAAGGTAATGCTGGGGCTCCTGGCTTCCCTGGTGCAAAGGGTTTGCCAGGCTTTCCCGGAAAAGATGGCCTGCCTGGTTTCCCAGGAGCCAAAGGTGATGCTGGAGCGCCAGGACTCCCCGGACGAGATGGGTTACCTGGAATACCTGGACAGAAGGGTGAAGCTGGGCTTGCAGGATTACCAGGTGTACCCGGTAAGTTCCTTAAAGTTATAATCAATTTTTTTTTGTTTTTTAAATTCAGTATGCGCTTTTGCCAGTTAGAATTTCTTTTTTTTTGAGGAGCAAATCAGTATTTTGACTTAAATCTGTACATATAATCAGATAATTTCAGGTATCGCACTTGCTGGGCCGAAAGGCAATGCAGGAGCACCAGGTTTCCCTGGAAAAGATGGGATTCCTGGACTTCCAGGTTTGAAAGGTGAACCAGGGCAGCCTGGTTATGCTGGAGCACCGGGTGTGAAAGGTGAAGCTGGATTGCCAGGATATCCAGGAGCTAAAGGAGAACCAGGGCAATCCGGCCTGCCTGGCCTAAGAGGAAAGGATGGAGCTCCTGGAGCCCCAGGAATTGCTGGATTGCCAGGAATACCAGGAGCAAAAGGAGATGCAGGATTACCAGGAGCACCTGGAGCACCAGGACTTGCTGGCTTACCGGGACTGAAAGGTAAATTTTCCAGTTTTTACACTTACTAATTCATAGACTTTAGCACAAGCAAATATTGATTTCGGTTCATGCAAAATGTCTGGCAGAATGCTGAATTAAAGAAAAATACACACATTTCCCAAAATTCTTTATGATTTTAATTCAAGAATAATGTTTGCAGGCGAGCCAGGTTTACCTGGATTCCCAGGACAAAAAGGCGAAGCAGGCATTCCGGGTCAACCAGGGCTCCCAGGATTGCCGGGACTTAAAGGAGATAGCGGTTTTCCTGGAGCACCCGGTCGAGATGGAGCGCCGGGCAAAGTTGGAGAACCTGGACCGATGGGACCTCCAGGTGCAGAGCCTCTGACACAACGTGGTGAGAAAGGTGATCAAGGACCAATGGGTGTTCCTGGAATTCGAGGAGAAAAAGGACTTCCGGGTTTGGACGGCTTGCCAGGAGCAAATGGTCAGTTTACATCGTTTGTGTTTTGAAATTATGCGAGGTGTCCTAGAAATAGCTGAAACGTGTTTTTTTGCTGTGCGATTTTTTCAAATAAGTCAAATTTCTATCGTACTTTATTTCAGGGCCACCAGGACCACCAGGAGCGAAAGGTGCAGATGGTTTCCCTGGCCAGCCTGGATTGGCTGGTGAGAAGGGAGCACCAGGACTGCCAGGCTTTCCGGGCGTTGAGGGCACACCAGGACCACCAGGTCTGCCAGGGTCGGGTGGACCGCCAGGAGCACCAGGGCCAGCATACAGAGACGGCTTCTTACTTGTGAAGCACAGTCAAACAACAGATGTACCACAGTGTCCGCCAGGACAACAGAAGCTATGGGACGGCTATTCACTGTTGTACATAGAAGGAAACGAAAAATCACATAATCAAGATCTAGGTAGGTACTCTTTTTAAATTAACAACGATTAATATAATTACAAAAAACTTTTCTTTACAATAATTCTGGTCAAGGACTGGCTCCTCCACGGAATTACTAATCCCTCTACGGTTTGATAGTGCACGTCGAAGAGCCAAATTCATCATCCGTTTACTTACAAGCAGTCTTCGAAAAGCCTCACCAGCGAGTGGCTTTTGTAATTGTTCCCACTTTTCCTCAATTTTCTTCGCCTCTTTTAGAAAGAAATTACGGGGTTAGTTTCGACTTTTGACTTTGAGCAGTCTGTAGCGGATATTGGCAACTGAGCCCAGTTTTAAAATGCAAAAATTTTGGTATTTTCATTTTGGGGACACTGAAAGATCACTAACGACATTAGCGTGCAGATTTTTTAGGATCCAGAAAAGAACAGAATTTGGCTAATTTGCATTAATTTGTCTGGAAATACATTTTGGCACCGATGAAGTATTTTGAATCAAAAACATTAAGATCGGTGATGGACTGTGGAACCGGCTTTTAATTATTGGTCCTAGTGTTTGCTGCTGATTTGGATAATCAAAAGGGGTCTATCATGCGTTTTTAAGAAGGCAGCGTTCGGGAACACAAAAACTGAAACGCCTTATATATATGTATATATATACATATATATATATGCATGCCTTATGTGCATATATATGTGCATGCCTTATATATATATATATATATATATATATATATATATATATATACA